AGTGCGGTGTTCCCACTTGTCATTGAATAGCAGAAGGTCTGGGTGTGCTGGCACTCGACCCATTACTTGGTGTAGTATTCTTTGTCATAGAAGCTTGGCACCGCAGCCACGTGACCTGCCTGAGTTCGTCATTGTGCTGGAGCGTGTGTACGTGAATGGAGCTTGACACTGCCCGCCGTGTGTCACTCAGGGTGTGGCGTGTTGAGCGTTATCTGCCGTTTCCTCTGAATCACCTCCTACCCCAGGCATTCCAGACATGCAGGTAGTCCGTCTCCTGCCATTAGTCACAGCACAAGCTTTTACCGTTACCCAATGAGGAGCATTAACCCCTTGTAGGGCTACGAAACACACCATGTCATTGCTGCCTGACAAGACCCCCCATATGCCACATCATTGCTTCCTGATATACCCCCCATATACTACATCATTGCTTCCTGATATACCCCCCATATACTACATCATTGCTGTGTGATAATACCCCCCATATACCACATCATTGCTGCGTGATAATACCCCCCATATACCACATCATTGCTGCGTGATAATACCCCCCATATACCACATCATTGCTGCGTGATAATACCCCCCATATACCACATCATTGCTGCGTGATAATACCCCCCATATACCACATCATTGCTGCGTGATAATACCCCCCATATACCACATCATTGCTGCGTGATAATACCCCCCATATACCACATCATTGCTGCGTGATAATACCCCCCATATACCACATCATTGCTGCGTGATAATACCCCCCATATACCACATCATTGCTGCGTGATAATACCCCCCATATACCACATCATTGCTGCGTGATAATACCCCCCATATACCACATCATTGCTGCGTGATAATACCCCCCATATACCACATCATTGCTGCGTGATAATACCCCCCATATACCACATCATTGCTGCGTGATAATACCCCCCATATACCACATCATTGCTGCGTGATAATACCCCCCATATACCACATCATTGCTGCGTGATAATACCCCCCATATACCACATCATTGCTGCGTGATAATACCCCCCATATACCACATCATTGCTGCGTGATAATACCCCCCATATACCACATCATTGCTGCGTGATAATACCCCCCATATACCACATCATTGCTGCGTGATAATACCCCCCATATACCACATCATTGCTGCGTGATAATACCCCCCATATACCACATCATTGCTGCGTGATAATACCCCCCATATACCACATCATTGCTGCGTGATAATACCCCCCATATACCACATCATTGCTGCGTGATAATACCCCCCATATACCACATCATTGCTGCGTGATAATACCCCCCATATACCACATCATTGCTGCGTGATAATACCCCCCATATACCACATCATTGCTGCGTGATAATACCCCCCATATACCACATCATTGCTGCGTGATAATACCCCCCATATACCACATCATTGCTGCGTGATAATACCCCCCATATACCACATCATTGCTGCGTGATAATACCCCCCATATACCACATCATTGCTGCGTGATAATACCCCCCATATACCACATCATTGCTTCCTGATAATACCCCCCGTTACATCGTCACTCTGCTGTACATAACCTGTGGGAGGGACCCAGTAGATGCACCCACTACGGGAGGGGGCGGAGACAAGGCCAGTCACTCTGCAACAGGAGAGAGAACAGCAGTGACCGGTCTTTATTACAGGAGGAGGCGGAGACGAGACCAGTCACCCTGCTCAAGGAAAGAGAGAGAGCAGCAGTGACCGGTCTTTATTACAGGAGGGGGCGGAGACAAGACCAGTCATCCTGCACAAGGAAAGAGAGAGAGCAGCGGTTACCAGTCTATATTACAGGAGGGGGTTGGATAGAAGACCAGTCACCCTGCACAAGGAGGGAGAGCAGCAGTCACAAGTCTTTATTACAGGAGAAGGTGGAGACAAGGCCAGTCACTTTGCACCAGGAGAGAGAGCAGCAGTGACCAGTCCTTATTACAGGAGGGGGCGGAAACAAGATCAGTCACCCTGCACAAGGAGAGAGACAGCAGCGATTACCAGTCTATATTACAGGAGGGGGCGGAGACAAGACCAGTCACCTTGCATAAGGAGGGAGAGCAGCAGTCACCAGTCTTTATTACAGGAGGGGGTGGGGACAAGACCAGTAATTCTGCACCAGGCAAGAGAGCAGCAGTGACTGTTCTTTATTACAGGAGGGGCGGACACAAGACCAGTCACCCTGTATAAGGAGAGAGAGAGCTGCAGTGACCAGTCCTTATTACAGGGGAGGGCGGAGACAAGACCAGTCACCCTGCACCAGGAGAGAAAGCAGCAGTGACCAGTCCTTATTACAGGAGAGGGCGGAAACAAGATCAGTCACCCTGCACAAGGAGAGAGACAGCAGCGATTACCAGTCTTTATTACAGGAGGGGGTGGAGACAAGACCAGTAATTCTGCACCAGGCGAGAGAGCAGCAGTGACTGTTCTTTATTACAGGAGGGGCGGACACAAGACCAGTCACCCTGTATAAGGAGAGAGAGAGCTGCAGTGACCAGTCCTTATTACAGGAGAGGGCGGAGACAAGACCAGTCACCCTGCACAAGGGGAGGGAGCAGCAAAATGAAAAAATTGCACACAAAAAATACAGCATATATAATTGTTACACAAGCCATTTTGTAATGTACTGTTATTAAATGACTGTGATTTTCTAAAACTGTCAAAAAATTGACCTGGAGGCGTGCTTTACACAGCTGCTGTACAGAACTCCCCCAGAAATGTCACTTCCTGCTTCTGTGATTGGCTGACTTCTATTTCTTTAGAACAGAACCCTTTAGGAATCTGCAACAAGTTTGTTAAAACCCTTCCAGTGTACATTCATCACTCTCAAAGGATTGATTTTTTTTTCTTTCTCAACAAAAGTGGAATTGCTCTTTAAATTAGCAATATACTGTACAGTACATTCCAGGTCCATCAACTCAAAAGGTGCTCAATGTCTTGCAGTAGCTTCACTATAGAAAGCAGCCACAGCCTGAGAAGAAAAGCCTGACCCCTGCAGAGAAAGACCCTTGTTCTCTGTGTGGAAGCAGTGGTCCCGTACCAAACCGCACTGAGCATGAAATTTGCTGATTGCAGAGCTATAGGCCTGACACAACAGGGGACAGAGAGCAAGGCTTCCACAGCATGCTGGCAGGGGCGTCCCGAGGCTGGGTGTCACCCGGGGGCGGAGACCAGGTGACACCCCACAGTGACGTCATCACACATGCGTGGTGGTCTTTTTGATGACACAAAGATGGCCGCCTGCAGAGAGAGGAGGGGACATTCACCCGGCGGGATAATGTATGCCGCCGGGTCCCCTTCCTCGCTCCTCACACTGTCTGGCTCTCGGTCCATGACCGAGTGCCCGACTTTTCATAGGGGGTGACACCAAAATGTCTGTCAGTCATTTTGGTGTCACCCCTCCAATGGTGGCACCCGGGCCGCACCCCCCTTGTGACGCCACTGGGCAGGGGACAGGCTTTTCTACTCAGGCTGTGGCTGCTCTCTAAAGATAACCAAGATTTGACACTCTTTTTTCTGTGTTTTGCTGCACCTGGAATGTATATAGCAGTTCAGTTGGGCTGCAACCAGAGGAACGTCAGGCACCTGAACAATTTAGCTCCCAGTGTGAGACGTTGGCTAACAAAGCATGCAAGGACTAATAGCTTCACAACAGCTGGAGAGTCAGAGGTTGCCCCAGGCTAAGCCATACATATGCTCCTACTATGCACTGGAATCATGAGCTCAGCTTTTTGTAGTGATAAATGGGATAAGGTGCTTGGAACATGCAGGTATGTGTGCAGACACCTTCCCAACTCCCCCCCACTCTGGTGATGGAACGCAGACCACCTCCGTCTAAACACTGTATCAGGATGCAAGGGGGAGAAAGTATGAGGAGGAGGAAGACAGGAGGAAGAATGGAGTGGGAGAGACGAAATGAAATCCTGCAGAAAGACACAAAGATTATTCAGCAAGAATGCAGAGCTGACATTCTTCCCTCCAGTGTTTGGATAGTGAATCCATTTACAGTATATTGGCAGCTTATTATTATTACGTTGTTCCAATTCATTTCTTCAGAGGCTTTCCTCTTTAAAAACTGTTAAATCCTGGAAATACATGTGAGAAATACACTCTGCTTTGTAATTCTGCTAGGCTAGGTTTGTGCTCCAGCCTGACACTGTTGGCGCTAAATAAATCTTGTATAATAATAATAATAATAAAAATATAATGAGCCAAATCATGAGGCTTAATAACAAACGAACCTGCCGGCCTCAGCTGTTACCGTGCCTTGTACAGAGAGTGGCAGTGACAGCTCAGGCCGACAGGTTTGTTTTGTTATTAGGGCCCATTCTCACCACATCCGGATCATCTCCAGACCAGACTATTTCCAGACCCAAAATGCATCTTAATGTATCCCTATGCTATTTCTGGCCTCTGTTCCCACCAGCGCAGTCTGTTCCGGACCAGACCAGAAAAATACTGCTTGTCCTTTTTTTTTGTCTGGTCTGGAATGCACTGGAACGAATCCAAAACGCATGGAACGCACCTGTAAGACAATTTTAAGCTAAAATATAAATCAAATTCCAATTGCGGTAAAATCGAGGCAAAAATTAAATGCACTATGTTCCAGATCTGGTCCGTAAAATGGTGTGAACCCAGCCTCAAGCCTCATATGATCACCATGATCGGCTGGTTACATGATCTGGCATCACAGTGATTGTTTCCTGATCCTTTGTGTAGACAATCGGTTCTCACGCCATTTCAGTCTGTGATCCCACTGGGGAGTTTTTCCCTTACTTCCTGTCCCTGTGACGCCAGGCCAAGAAATGGGAGAAGTGGTTGTCACTGAGACCATGATAAAAACACTCCACATTCTACTCCAAATGTGTAATTGAAGAGATATTACCAGGAGGAACAGAAATACAGAAAAAAGCAACATTTACTAATAATGGTTCCGATTTTATGTCTTCTGCAGGTTGCTGGCGGGAGCTCCACAGGATGCAGCACCCTCTGGTGTTAATGTTAACCGGACCGGTGCCCTCTATGCGTGCCCTATCACCATGTCAAAATCAGATTGTTTCCGCGTCTCTATCGAACAGGAAAGTAAGTTTAAGTTTTGCCAGCCATGATTTACATTGATAAGGATATCAGTGCAACTTTAATGTTGGTAGATGTTCCCGTACATGAGCAGTTAATGGATGATTAGGTCACGTGGTCTGTATTCACTGGGCTTTTGATTAAGAGCAGCTTCAATGGTTATTGAATAACTAGAAATCTGTGGAGAACTTGAAGTTAAACTACCAACTCATTACATAGCCTCAAAGTTGTATTGCATCACTGTAAACCTGGCATGTCAATAAACCATCATGTAATGTAATACCTGATTCTGGCCATTAGATGGAGCTGAGAAGCATAGAAAATCAGCTCCACCTAGTGGCCAAAAGGTGGTATTACATTGTATTACATTACATTTGACCTGATAAGAAAATCCACCATACTAATACGAAGAATGTTCCTTCTTTACCTCTACTTGCACAGAACCAATGTTCACAGAGATTCACAGGACAAATGGCTCTGCACATTGTTTATAAATGCACCCCTTAGTGTTCCCACTCACAAATCATACAAAAGTAATTGTAATTGATTTTTTGGAGCGGGTTATACTTAGAACAGCAAACTATTCTGAACAATTTCAAACTGAGGGAAAGTATGTTAAAGGAGAACTATGAGGTGAGTGCTTTTCACTCACCTCATAGTTCTAGCCGACCTGTGACAATGAGACTGTCACAGGTCGGCTCAGTAGATCGGGAGGTGAGCGAACACATACCGGCGTTCGCTCACCTCTCAATCCTGTCAGGGCTCTCTGCAGTGACGGGAGCGCTGACTGGCGGAACGGACACGGGAGGGGGTGGGTACAGCTGGCTCTGCCTCTAGATAGGCAGAGCCAGCTGTCAGTCACGGAGCTGGGCGGATCCTGGCACAATTGTCGGGATCCGCTTCAGCTGCGGTGTCTCAGTATACCGCGAGCAGCAGCTCGCAGTATACTGAGCCAAGGGTGAGTTTGTGTCCTCCCGTTACCCTAAGGAGAACTATGGGGAAAAGCCTTAACCCCATAGTTCTCCTTTAACATACAATGTACAACCCAAGCTTTTAAATATAGTATACAGTATACACAGCATACATATCTAGTTTGCAGCTGATAATGGGATCTGGTGCACAGTACAGACATGGTTAGTTATGGTAAACTCCCCAGCTCCCCCCTCCCCCCCATTTACATTACATAGAAGGGGGAAACTAGATAGAATTGTTCAAGCAAGCAAATAAAAGGTAAGCAGAAATGTTTACATATTTTTTGAAGTTATGCTATGTGAATGGGAACATATAACATATACATAGTTGTGTTATCCCAGTTTGGCTGCAATAGTGGAAATACACTTGATGTGGGAAGATCTCACACTGGAGTCTCTGACATATAAAATTACTCTCGGATTGTTTAAGCCAACCAACATGTCCTGAAGATGAAACAGTGTGAATACATGACAGATATGTTTATTCTGTAGCCCAGGTCTGCTTTAGGTAAAATTCCAGCAATGTAAATATGACTTTGACTGAAATGTATCGAATTCTACTTGTAACTTTGGCAATCCTTCATAGCCTGATTTCCTATATTACTCCCACATCTACAGGGCTGGCACACCATAAGCGGAGGTTTCATCTGCCACATAGACAGCTCAGGGTTGCTTATTATATTTACTCCAGCAAAAATGTGTTTGTTCACTGAGCAGAAAATAATTTAAATGGACCCTTGCCTGCAGCGTGCAGCTATCTTGAGCCTGCCATTTGAAGTCTGAATGACTTAAGTCATCATACATCCCCCTCTCTGCTCCTGGTCTGTATTGGCATTGCCTCCCCTGTCACAGCTATTGGCTTTCTCTACCATCATTTTTTTTTCCCGCTCTTCCTCGTGTGTGGGAGGGATCTTTAGGGCCGGCACATGGCAGCCACTGTTCTGCTGTTCCCAAATATTATATGAAAGATCTCATTCTCAGCATCCCTTAGGATAAACATCCCTGCTGGCCCTTGCAGACTTTAGCTGTACAATCTGCTGATCAGTTGCTTGATTGCATTTGATTAGAGTGTAATCAAGCAACCGATCAGAAGATTGCACAGCTAAAGTCTCCAGAACGGCAAGCAGGAATGGACATCTAAAGTGTTGCTGAGGATGTGTTCTTTTATATAACGCTTGGGGCAAGTTTCTGTGATGTTTACAGGGGTCTGTTGGCCCCTCCCACCGAACTCTATCTTAATATGGAGCAAAGGCTGATGATGATGTCACTGAGTCTCAAGAGGTATTTATTGAAAACGTTATGATTTTGAATTTTTTAATTGCATGTTGTTCTCCTCCTCAGTGTACCACCTCAACTCTGATGCAAGCAGTGGGCTGGCTCTTAGGAGGGCATATGCAAATATCAAAATGTCTTGATGGGTGGGTCTCAGTCTGGAGGAGTTGGCGTTCCTAGTCATACTGTATTTGCATGCAGATCATTGTAGGTAACACCCACATGTGATGCTGAGCCTCTATGATTGAAAGAAGTGATATCCAATGAATAAAAGGGACAGGGGCAAGGACAGTAAAGCTGAGGAGGGAAGCGCTAGATGGTGCTGGACGTCATGCATCCAGGAAATGAGGTGGGCTCTATCTGACTTACTGAAGATTCTAATGCACATTGTGAGAAGCTGACAGTGTGGAATGAAATCAGAGGAAGCTATTTCAGTCCAGGAGAGACGGAAGGGAAGGCCGGAGGTCACCTCTAAACCCTAATTGTTTATAATTGGCTGACAATATCGTTTCATTCTGTTAGTAAATAGCAATAACTGAGGTAATCTAATTTAGTCTTAAGAAGTCTTTCTGATGTCATTGTGTCCACAGGTCAGCCCGGCCGTAACCTCATTGAGAATATGTGGTTGGGAGTCACGGTAGAGTCACAAGGACCCGGAGGTCGTGTCTTGGTAAGTGAAGTCTTCTGAGTTATGGGGAAAGCAAAGCATGCTGGGAAATACCTTTTGTGGTTTGATTAATGGGAACCAGAAAGGAAAAGCACAATTTCAATATGATAATTTCAGATAATTCTGGATCTACGGATCATTATGGGGTTACATTTCACAAAAGTGACCTCCTGCGCTTTTCAGTATACACTCCACCTGAGCTGTCCAGGCTTACAGCAGTTCAACTTTAAAGTGCCTTACCGAAATCATGGCAATGTATGTTATATGCCCTTAAATCCATTTTCTGGCAACGCATTTTATTGCCTTGCTCTATGCTGCAACTCATGTCCTTTGGAAGGTGTGTTAGGGCCCCATATAGAATGAATTTCCTTATGCACCTCCCATAACTATTCAGAATGAATGGCACTGCATTGTCCAAATGCTTTTACCATTCATTGCCCCACAGCGCCAAAGTGTTAATGGGTCCTAACGATGAGTTTCTCTTATTTGCTCCCTTGTCTGCTAAATATACCATTGGAAGCGTGTTGTAATATCCGTTCAATAAATAGAAAAATAAAAAAAAAGTACTTATTGTACTTTCCAAACCTCTTGTAAGCTTTTTACACCTGTGCACCGAAGGAACGCTCATGAAATTGCACGCCTTCCTGTAGTGTACCTGTTTTTCAGACTCACTGCAGTGCCATTCATTCTTTGTGGCACCCCAGCACGCCTGCGAGGACAGGCTCACAGAAAGGTTCACACCTGTGCGTGTGCAACATGTATACGTGTTAAGGTGCATAACGTTCGGGCAGCCCATACATACCAATGGGCTGCCCAACACATGACAATCACACCAAAAAAGTGCGTGCACCACTTTTTAGAACCCACCGCCCCAAAATGCATGGTACATTGCAAAGAAAATAGAACAAATGATACAGTATGAAGAAATTAGAATGGTACAGTATAAAGAAAGTAGAAAGAATGGTAAAGTATGAAAAAAATAGAAAGATACAGTATGAGGAAGATAAAAAGATACAGTATGAGGAAGATGGAAAGATATAGTATGAGGAAGATAGAAAGATACAGTATGAGGAAGATAGAATAAAAAAGAATACAGCATGAAAAAATAGAATTTTACAGTATAAAGAAAAAATAAAAAGAATGATACAGTAAAAAAAAATTGAAAGATACAGTACAAAGAAAATACACAGAATGATGCCATATGATGAAAATAGAAGGGTACAGTATAAAGAAATAGAAGGGTACAGTGTGAAGAAATAGAAGGGTACAGTATAAAGAAATAGAAGGGTACAGTATGAAGAAATAGAAGGGTACAGTATAAAGAAATAGAAGGGTCCAGTATAAAGAAATAGAGGGGTACAGTATAAAGAAAGAGGGGTACAGTATAAAGAAATAGAGGGGTTCAGTATAAATAGAAGGGTACAGTATAAATAGAAGGGTACAGTATAAAGAAATAGAGGGGTACAGTATAAAGAAATAGAAGGGTACAGTATAAAGAAATAGAGGGGTACAGTATAAAGAAATAGAGGGGTACAGTATAAAGAAATAGAAGGGTACAGTATAAAGAAATAGAGGGGTACAGTATGAAGAAATAGAGGGGTACAGTATAAAGAAAATATTTTATTTCATAGGCCATAACATCATCTCCGTCTTCCCATCATTGTCTACCTTTTTGTGTCCCGGATAATTATGAAACGTCGTATTGTCCTTTTAAACCTATGTGTCATTTTCCGCCACACATGCCAAGTAACGGGACGCTTCCTGTATCCTGAAGTGCTCCTGATCTGCATTCCCAGCTGCCCCTCTTCTCATCTTCCTCCTGTGTCTGCCGCATCAGGATATTGGAAAATGCCCGACATCTGCAATGCATCATAATTGTCATTGCCAGCTAATACTAAAAGGGCCCCTAATAAGATTAGCCTAGCTCAGTGTGAAAGTAAGTGTGTGCGGGCAAAGCATGCTGGGATTTACAACAGGGTTCTGCTTACTATAAGACACTAATAAGCATCTGCCAAGGACGGCAGGGTAGGAAGGAATAGCAGAGTACAAGATTTACTTTTTGGGGGTCTTTTTTTATTTGCCGAGTTGAATTTTGGATACTTGTGGGTATATGCAGCAGCAGGGGGACAGGACCGGCTTAGAGGAATTATTCTGAGAGAAAGTTCTCTCAGAGAACTTTCCAATTTCATTATTGGTGGACGGTATCATCTAATGATCGCCTATAATGCTGCATCCTGAACTTAACCACTTGAATACCAGCCTGTATATCCCCCTTTATTACCATTCTGTTTTTTAGTTTACAGTGATACTTTGACAATTACTCGGTCATCCAATACTGTGCACAAATGAATTTTTATGAGACAGATAGAGCTTCCTTTTTATTAAGGATCAGTGCCGATACCTAGTATTTGGGCGAGTACTCGAACTTCCAGTATCAGGAAGCTGGGCGGCGAGTCATTACATAATCAGAAAGCTTGGCTTACTGATTGACCACAAAGGAAGGCAATCAGGAAGCTGGCCAATCACAAAGGAGCATGGAGTCGGCTTCCTGGATGATCATGAATCCATGGAGCCAGCTTCCAGGCTAATCAGGAAGCCAGGCGGCGTGTAATGACTTGGTGGTCGGGAATCTGACCAATCAGGAAGCCGGGTGGCGAGTCATTACCCACCCCCCTGGCTTCCTGATTGGCAGGAAAGCCGGCTCCATGCTTCCCCTTTTCCTGGTGATGACGGAACGTGGCCTCAAGGCCAATCCTGTAAGTCGGTTGGGGTGTAATGACTCGCCACCTGCCTTCCTGGTTGGTCAGAAAGCTGGTCAGGAAGTCGGGTGGCGTTCTTTACCTGCCCCCTGGCTTCCTGATTGGCCAGAAAGCCGGCTCCATGCTTTCTCATCACCAGGGAGAATGTAGCTGACTGCCAGGCCAATTAGGAAACCGGGGCGCAGATAATGACTCACCCCCCGGCTTCCTGATTGGCCGACTGGCCGGCTCCATGCTTCCTCGTCAGCAAGTGATGAGGGAGCATGGAGCCAACTTCCCAGCCAATCAGGAAGCTTAGGCGGCGTGTAATGACTTGACGCCTGGCTTCCTGATTGGTCAGGAAGCTGGGCAGCAAGTCATTACCCACTCCCTGGCTTAATGATTGACCACAAAGCTGCTCCTTAGTCACCTGGTGACGCGGGAGCATGGAGACAGGCTTCCTGACTAATCAGGAAGCCGGATGGCGAGTCCTTACCCGCCCCCTGGCTTCCTGATTGGCCAGGAAGCCGGCTCGATGCTTTCTCGTCACCTGCTGACAAGGGAGCATGGATACTGCTTCCCAGCCAATCAGGTAGCCATGGGGCGAGTCATTACATGCTGCCCGACTTCCTTAATGGGACTTCTGGTTTTGGTATTGGCGAGTACCGAAAAAAATTATCAGACAAGAAGTCAGTAGCATGTACTCAGAGCATGACTCAGCGCCCTGCTTCCTGATTGGTCGGGAAGCTGGCCAATCAGGAAGGAGGATGGCGAATCATTACCCAATTGGCCAGAAAGCTGACTCCATGCTTCCTGGTCATCTGGTGATGAGGGAGTATGGAGACGGCTTCCCGGCTAATCAAGTAGCCGGGGGGCGAGTCATTACATACTGCCTGGCTTCCTTAATGGGACTTCCGGTATTCGGTATCAGCGAGTATCGGGAAAAAAATATCGGTACTCGTACTCAATACAGAAAAACCGTACCCTGTAGCTATTGTGAGATTATCCATTACGAAATTCTCCCAACATCCACAAATGTTGTCAATAAAAATAAATGACATCAAAAAACGTTCTTGTCTTAAAATAAACTGTTAAAGAAACAGAAATGTTTTGCATAAGGTGAGAAAGGCCACAAGAACTTCCTCTATCTGGTGGTCATCCTCTTGTCTTCCATAATAGTAGAATAGTTCCATAATAATAGAGACATCTGAAGGGTAAAAAACTTTTCATCAGCAACAAGCCAAAAAAAATGTCTATCAAGAAGATTTTCCAGATAATTGGTATTTCTGTGTTGCGTCTTTTGTGTTTCTGCACAGTCATGGGATCTGCTGGCGTGGGCACCGTGCCCTGCTATTAACAAAGTGTCAAGTCAGGGATTCGGCTTTGCTTTTCATTTCCAAAATAGGCTTTTGATTAATGGATCCGCGCTTGCCGAGTGCTAAAAACATTGGCACGAAGGGCGGGAGCGAAGTATTCTGGGATTTCAGTACAGCAGAAAAGGATCCTGGGAAGGTGTGTTATGTCTTACATGGGATATAGCAGTCTGCTGAGCTAGGCAATGTACTGTATACATACAAGGGGTGCACCAAAATTTCAGCCGAAAGTTGTACTGTGAGCCAAATGTCGATAATACCAAAACGGCTGAAAATGTGGTTCATCCCCAGCTTCTCTCCTCCCTGCTGGGCCCCAGTCTGTGTCCCCTACGATCCCCGCTGCTCTCCCCCACCTGTGTCTGCAGAAGGAGTGGGGATCGGAGGGGACATTGGTTTTGCGAATGCCTAGATGTGAACCGTGCCTTAGCGATCAGTCCTGAACACTGAGTGTAAACAACGGAGGACCTAGTACGCTTACTTTGTCCCCAGTTATGAATGAACGGGAAGTGCTCTACAACACTTCCCGTTCACTCATGATTGTGGATATTGTACCTGATACAATCTCTTCAGTTTAAGAATGGACAGAAGCACTCAGTGCCCACAATTTTTTGTCTTGAGTTCTACTTTTCAAATGACGAGCTCAATGAGATCTACCAATGAAAAAAACACCTTTTATTTAAAAAAACAAGCACATTAAAACTGGGGCTACTGCATCTCTCCCCTGGCTCCCTCTCTCTGTCTCTCTCCCCCCACCCCCCTCTCTCTCTCTCTCTCTCTCTCCTGGCTGTCTATTCTCTCTCTCTCTGCCCTGGCTGTCCCCTCTGTCTCTTTCTCTCTCCTGTCTCTCTCTCTCTCTCTCTCTCTCTCCCCCCTCCCTCTCCTGGCTGTCTCTTCTCTCTCTCCTGGCTGTCTCTTCTGTCTCTCTGCCCTGGCTGTCCCCTCTCTGTCTCTCTATCTCCTGGCTGTGTCTTGCTCTCTCTCTCTCTTCTGGCTGACTCTCCTCTCACATCTGAAGGTTTCTCCTCTCTCTCTATCCTGGCTGTGTCTTCCTTACCTGCACTGCAGCATCTTCCAGGCTCTTCTCTCATGTGCGCTGTCCTGTCCTCCTGCGGTGATAGTGTGGACGAATGTGTCAGACATTGCAGACCAGGAGGGGCGTCCCACCCCGCACTGGTCATAGTGTGGACGAATATGTCCGACGCTACAGACTGGGAGGGGCGTCCGGCCCCGCACTGGTGATAGTGTGGACGAATGTGTCCGACGCTACAGACTGGGAGAGGTGTCCCACCCCTTCCTGTCTGCAGCCACTGACGCATTTAGCCGCACTAGCACCGTGGGAGGGAGCTCAGGACAGTGAGCAGATCGCGATCTACCAGTGTTTGCTTTGCGATTGACTGGTAGATCGCGATCGACCTAATGGGCACCCCTGGTATAGAGGCTTCCTGTTCATTCACAACAGGGGCCACAGAAAAAGAGATTGAGGACTCTGTGGCGCCAATCTCTATTTCTATTTTAAAAGGGAAATATCAGACCCACTGATATTCCCCAAAGCCACTGACAGTAAAGTAAAAATAAATCATGTAAAAATAATTTTAAAAGGTTGGGAAAAAAAAGTGATTTTTCAGTTTCAGCATGACACATTTTCTCATTTCAGTCATTGCGGTGCACCCCTAATGCATACATATATGTACAGGCACCTCCCAAGGGGATGTGGATAGCAGAACTGAGATAAGGAGGAAGTGGATGACAGGCCATGAACTATTATAAGGCTCTGGTGTTGACCAAAGAGAGATAAATGAAGACTAGATTGAGAAGGACATTGCTGAGTGTGCCATGGGGAGACTGCTAGTAAAGTGACAGCACAAAGAGGGTGTAAGTCAGCTGCTGGATGTGAGCATCGAGGACACGGTCAGCAAAGAGACCGAAGGGTTTAGTGCAGAAATGGACTGCCAGGACATGAACGTTGTCTGGGAAGAGACTACTGTTTTTTGTTTTTTTTTGAAGCCCGTGGAACGTGCGTCTAAACAAACTTCCCCCTGTGAACAAAAAAAGTGAACCGTGAAATCACAGCACACAAAAACGTGCACAAGGGTGCAAGGTCCTTCCTAAGAAGGGACCCATTTCCCGACCCCCCGGGGCGCAAGGCTCCTGACAGGGGTTGAGATACTATGGTCCACCAACCCGAAGGCCGGTGGACCTTTCCTTTGGGGACCTGCCGAAACAGGTCCCAAGGACACGGTCAGCAAAGAGACCGAAGGGTTTAGTGCAGAAATGGACTGCCAGGACATGAGCGTTGTCTGGGAAGAGACTACTGTTTTTTGTTTTTTTTTTTAAGCCCGTGGAACGTGCGTCTAAACAAACTTCCCCCTGTGAACAAAAAAAGTGAACCGTGAAATCACAGCACACAAAAACGTGCACAAGGGTGCAAGGTCCTTCCAAAGAAGGGACCTACTTCCCGACCCCCCGGGGCGCAAGGCTCCTGACAGGGGTTGAGATACTTTGGACCACCAACCCGAAGGCCGATGGTCCATTTCCTTTGGGGACCTGCCGAAACAGGTCCCCCACAGTACTTGGCAAGGGGGCTCTCCCGAAGAGAGACCCCCTTCCTGGGTGGGAGGAGACAGAGAACCCCCTACGAGGCACAGAATCTCCTCCCAGCGTCAGGAATAGGCCCCGAAGAAACCTGCACCTTTCGCATCTGTGGGTCAAATTTAAAAATAAAAAAGTGCCAAACGTGCATGGAGTGCATAAATAAATCTAAAGTGCCAGTGCACCACGCTGACAGGCCTTAGGGGCCGGAGTGCAAAAATATTGCCCCGGACTAGCCATAAGGCCTGTCCAAGAGGCGTTGTGCAGAAAAAGCAATATGGTGTGTGACCAAGTGCTACAGTGAGTCATGTGGGGTCCCATACCCAAGTGACTTTCTGAGCACCCCTGGGACGCCACCCCCAGGGGGCACAACACCACAGGCTTCTGCCGCCCCCGAACCCTCGAGCCAGACCAAGCTTCGCATCTGTTCAGTCAGAAAGCCATGTACTGAGCGGTTCCCCTCTCACAGGAAGCCGCCCCACACGCTCTTTCACTCCAGCGAGTACTAAGTAACCATCCCCCGCAAGGACGGTTCTTTTCCCCACCGAAAACTGATAAGAACAGATACTACACTTGATCTTAGCCAAAAGGCCGGGAAGAGACTACTGGTCCTCATACTGAGCGTATCCACACTGAGACTGCCAATGGACCTAGTGACGATGACCACACAGAGACTATTATCCAGGTGATCCAGAGTTACTTTACAGAGACAAATGGCGACAATTTATAAAAACCCCATCCCTATGTGCGATATCATCAGGGGCATAACTAGAAATGGTCGCTATGGTGATTGTTCCGCCACTGCATATTACATAACGAGTTATTGGCTCCATGCTATAATAAATGCATGTGCATTGAGTAATTAATGCTGTTGTCACTATGAGGCATCTCTCTGTCACTGTGCTCTCTCCTCCTATCAACATACTTCTTGTCAGCATGAACTGATTGGTTCCTTGTGCTGCTTCTTCCTCTCTCACTCTGAGCTGCAAGAGGCTGATAGTAAGCATTTGAAAACACATTTAAGTACTATAGTTTTAATGAAGACATAAGTACATTAAGAAAAGTTGTCCCTTATTATCAGACTTGGTTAAGGCAAGGTCATTTTCAATGATGAAGTCACCTCTTTGTCTCTTACCAGGTGTGTGCCCATCGATATACATCAGTCCAGGCCATACTGGGCACTAGAGAAGAGCAGTACAGGATGATCGGCAAGTGTTATGTGCGGGGCAACGACCTGTTATACAACAGTCAGGATGAATGGCAGACCTACCACAATGAGATGTGCAATGTGAACACCGATCTGGACAAAACGGGCATGTGCCAGATGGGCATCAGCGGAGGATTCATCAACAACATGCTGTACTTTGGAGCCCCTGGGGCTTATACGTGGCAAGGTAAGGGTATGTGTGTGTGACAGCCTGCCCAGAGCTGGCACAAGGTGGCAGAGGGCAAGGTTAGGTTTTGTTTCGGGGAAATGGTAGGAAGGTAAGATGGGGCAGCACCAGTTTACTGTTGGTTTTGTCTTTTTGGTTGTCTACAGAAGGGAGGCTTTTACAGGTAAATAACATGCACGAAACATGTTACGGTAAGTATGTGATTACAGCAGAAGAGGGCAAGTGGGGGGGGGGGGGTTTGGGGATTTTTTTGGGAGGGTGAAGTTCCCTTTTAAAGCAGAACTATTGGGGTCAGTGTTTTTCCCCATAGTTCTCCTCAGGGTAACGGGAGGACACAAACTAGCGTCCTCCCGTCACCCTAAGCTCAGTATACAGCGAGCTACAGCTCGCGATATACTGAGACTGGCGCAGCCGGGACGGATCTCGACATTACTGTTGAGATCCACCCAGCTGCGTGAGTGACAGCGGGCTCTGCCTAACTAGAGGCAGAGTCAGCTGTGCCCACCCCCTCCCCATCCGTTTCCCCAGTCAGCACTGGAGGATCGGAGCGGGGAGGGGGGAATCCCTGCAGGGAGCCGTGAGTGACAGTCACTGTCACTTCCCGATCTATTGAGCCGACCTGTGACAGTTTCCTTGTCACACGTCAGCTCGAACTATGAGGTCGAGTCTAAATCACTCACCTCATAGTTCTCCTTTAAGTGCTGCAGAAGATTTAAAGGGGCAGGTTTATGAAATTTTGTGGAGGAAATGCGGAGCGTTTTTGCCCAAAGCAGCCGCGTAAATGTGTCATTTCGTTGTTTCATTTCCCCAGATGAGGAAAGATGGAACCTGACTGTTATTGGGGATCCGTGCACTCCGGCTGAGCGTTTATTTTTTTGCTCCATTTACAATAAAGTCAGTCTGATGTATTTAATGAGAAGCTAGGAATGAGACAACTAATTTTCCCCTCGGTATGTTCTAGGCGCAGACTTCATCCTGCAGAGAGTGAAATCAGATTTCGGGATTGATGACACAGTGGATATCTCCTCGCCGAGGGAAAACTTGTACAACATCTACATGGGTACGTCATTGTCCCTCCCTGTGCTGCACTGTCCTTCACCTCCTTCAGTGCGGCTTATCTCGCTAAGTGCTTTGCGTCCTCTGTGTTGGTCTGAAGTCGTCTGCCTCATCTACTTCACCTTATGACTTCTCATTATTGATCAGTATATACATAAAGATCTGTGTAGAGTAGACCCATAGCGACCAATCAGATGACTTCTTTCATGTTGTTTAATTATTTTTCATTATTGGCTGTTACCAGACATGGTGAGGTATTGTTATTTCAGGCGCACAAAAGTGACCCTGTTACTCACAGACCAGATTATTAAAAAAAAACAAAAACATATTAGACATTTGAAGGATTATTAAAGTGACAGATCACACGTTAGGATACGACCCTACATCCGCATTTGAAGTCCTGCGTATGACTGTGATGTATTTCACACTGTACGCATGCAGATGTTTGTGATTATGTTTACATTCGTACAGCCTACAGCACAATAGCATTCTTTTGTAGCTGCCTGCGTCCTAGCAACGAACCACCTAGTGTACTTTGTTGCTAGGATTCAGGAGGCTAAAGCCACCTAGCATCCGTTGTTGCTGGGATATAGGAGGCTTGGGCCTTCTGGCATCCTTTGTTGCTAGGATACAGAAGGCTTTGGTCATCTGCCATCCTTTGTTGCTAGGATACAGGAGGCTTTGGTCATCTGGCATCCTTTGTTGCTAGGATACAGAAGGCTTTGGTCATCTGCCATCCTTTGTTGCTGGGATATAGGAGGCTTGGGCCTTCTGGCATCCTTTGTTGCTAGGATACAGGAGGTTTTGGCCATCTGGCATCCTTTGTTGCTAGGACACAGGAGGCTTGGGCCATCTGGCATCCTTTGTTGCTTGGATGCAAGCTGCACCTTGCCACCTAACGTCCTTTGTTGCTAGGATGCAAGGGGCTCGAGCCGCCTAACAACATATGTTGCTGGGATACAGAAAGTTTGGGCCACCTAGCATTCTTAATTGCTAGGATACAAGTTGCTCCTTGCCACCTAGCGTCCTTTGTTGCTAGGATGCAGGCGGGTTGAGCTACCTGATGTCTTTTGGTGCCAGGATACTGGACGTTTGGCCTGCCTAGCATCCTTTGTTGCTAGAATACAGGAGGCTTGAGCGCTCTAGCTTTCTTCCTTGCTAGGACACAGGAGGTTTGGACCACCTAGCATCTTTTGTTGCTAGGATGCAGGACCTCAGACACTTTCTCCTACCTGTGCGTCATACATATCACACCCCACATCCCTCTATGAAGTCATGTCACTTGCACTTGCGGTTACACTGTGTATCATTTCTTTGGAGGGAGAAGACTAAGCCGTGCGGAATGTCAGATCCTCGGTCAGGACTTGTTGTGCGCCGACTTTCATTGTCCTGAATGTCAGACTGAGTCAGTTTGTACAGAACGGTTTGCATAGTGGGTGCTGTTCCTTCTCACCTTCTAGGTGTGTTCCTTCAAGGACCAGTACACCAAAAACACACACTCACCTCATAGACTGGAGATGTTTCCTCCAAATAATGCCGTGATTCGGCCATGCTGATACGCACTCAGCTGATTGATGGGTAGTGTGAATTTTTATGTTAGGTCTTCTTTAATGGCTGAGGTTACCTTTCTGACCATGTTTTATGTCACACCCATATTCAGTGAAACATCAGCACCCCCCTACTTACTCGAATCGCGGGGTTCTTGCATGCTTGTGTACTTTTTCGAATTTGGTGTGGCTGTGCTTCACCCACACAGCTGCGCCATTCATTCACAGATCCCTTGGCAGGATCTGTGAATGGACAAACTCCGAATTCCATCAGCCACCACAGCAGAGAGACTTGTAGTGCTCAATAGAATACAAGTGTGGTGACGTCACTTGTAGTCCATTCATGGACGGGAAGAAGAGTCTGCAGCAGCCAAAACAATGCACTCGTGATCTAGTGATCGCAGTTGCAATGCTTTACTGTCCCCAATGCAAAAAATAACAGATACCCATTTTTTAATTTATAAAGACGTGTGCATTTATTATTATTTTCATTTATGATTTTCATTGTTTTATTTTTCATTTTATAATTTTATTATGTTTTATTTTCATTTTATTATTTTTCATTTATTTTATTATTTTTTCATTTTTTTATTATTATTATCATTTTTCTTTTTCATCTTTCATATCATTATTTTTCATTTCGTTTTCATCCCTTATTTTTTCTCAAAAAGCGGACTTTCCCTTTAAAACTGAGCTGAAAAGGAAAA